GATTTTTTTGGAATGATCAGGACTCAGAAGCCTGGATAGGAGCTGATTTTATACTTTTTACCATACCTACAAAACTAGTTAAATGAATTTCTTAAGATTTAATATTTGAGTTGAGGTTATTACCGAAACCAACTAGTGAACTTTTCAGATTTAAAACTCTACTAAGGGGCAAATTTATTTTTTTTCGAGGAGTGTTAAGTAAAAGCTTACTTCCGATTTATGTAAGTTTACTAAAAATCTCTTTAAAATTATAAAGAAATGTTTATAAAACGCATTTTCCTTATCTTCTTTAGCGCTTTCACTAAATTGGACAATAACTATTCCGGTAGGATATGTGCATATCAGGCTTTTCTTATTTAACGCAAAAATATTTAATTCAAAATTTATTCTTAGATTCAAGTGCAAATCATATACACACACATATTTAAGTGCCGCTAAAGAATGTAATCAACTATTGTATTAAATTGTTGCACTTACAATGTGGATGTCTAATTTAATGTCGGGTCTCAAATTGAAAATATCATATTATTGAGAACGTATTTGTAAGATCACAGAAAATTAGACCTGAATATTTACATATTGTAAATCCACCAGATCCAGTGGATAGGTATTCCAGTGTTTGCAGTTATTGTTTTCGTATACAACCAGGATTAGTTTAATTCAGTACTGGATAGGAAAATACATAATATCTTTATAACTAAGTTTAACTAAGAAGGTTTATAACGATAAATCAAATATGTTTAAAAAAATCAACAAAATTCGTTATTAACACGTTCCTTGGCGTTTGCTTTTTCCCGATATATTCTTTTAGATTTTTCTTTTAAATTAAAACCATTAACCATCAGAACTTCGATGGTGTATGTTATATAAAAATTTTTTACTTTGTGAAAAATAAATTATGTAAGGCAGCAGGAGCTTAGCACTTGCACCACTCACGAATTAGCTTTATTGATTTAAGTATTAAGCTTGTATAATATTGTTTATGGTATCTGCATATTTTCTTCATATTACTTTCATAATTTACAAGTTGGATTTAAAAAATTCTGTAAAAATTTAAAAATATTTGCCATTTTTATATCATCAAATTATTTATATTATTTAATCTATATTGTTTAATGTAAAGGAAACTGCTTCGTCTCTATGGAAGTTGGCATACATTTGGCTGTGTGAATAATGAATTTCAAAATAGCTATATACACACATCTTAAGCAAAATCTAATATCTGTTAATAAAGTTTGTACCAGAAGAAAGGCGAAACTAATATTGCTAATAAGAATAATAATCGTTTATCGTAATTGCTGTCTTCGGTTTCATACGAAAAATTTAACAAAATTTTGAACAGCAACAGACGAATACAGCCATTCATATTAATGAAACGACCGAAATGAATTAACCTGTGACAATTCTGGAATATATTTAATTATGTTAACTGGATTTAACGTTTCTTATGTCACAGAAAAGGACGCAAGGACTGTAGAAAATACCAAAACATGAATGAAAACAAAAGAAAAAATGTAAAAAGTTAAACGATTTGCATATTTCCTCTATAGAAGTAAGTAGATTATTAGAAATGAAATTTAAAAATTAAACATTATTACCTATCCTTTTAAGACGCCAAGATTTACTACAAAAGGAAACTACATATTCTAAGGGCTAACCCGTTATGAAGGCAATTGCTTTATCTAACATGAAATGATTGTTAAAAATGAAGGAAATGGAAATGAAGGTTTCTGTATGGCTTGTGATATATAATGGCCATATTTCATGAGGACTCAAAACTTTTAATTATACATTTTATTTTACCTTCGAGATGAAATAAAAAGAGGGTGTTCTGAAAAATACACTAAAATCACTCTGTTTTAAAATAGTAAATTTATTTTTAGGAAAACTTTGTAAAAAATGAAGACTGTATGCTATAATAATGTGTTCCCTGATGATGCTCCATATTGAAAGCGAATTATTGGACTATTGGAGCCGATTAAATATATTTGCCATTGAAAAAATGATATTATGTGGGACTCCACAATTTATATTTAAGATTCAAAGATTCGTGTAAATGATTAAAACATTATGTGAAATTCGGCCGATTTTTGGAAAATAAAAGCGTTTGCCGAATAAAATTTTTTATAATATTTATTTTATAGAAAATAAATATTACCCAAACCATGAACAAATATGTCAACAGTTTAACAGGATTGATCGTAGAAAAAGGTACCCAAAAAAAATATATATGTATTATTAACGGTACTTTTTGAACAATAACCATTTTTTCACAAATTAAATGTTAATTTTTTTAAAAACAAAACGTTATATCTTCGAAACCGTCCAACGGATATGTTCTGTAACAGATAGTTTCCTTCGTTTGACCTTGATAACTTCATTAGTTTAAGAAATATAGGCGCATTTTTATTTTCGAAGGCCTTATATAGTCCTTCAAGAAACTTTGACTAAAAGTAGCAGAACAAAACTTTCATCTCATCATTGAGTATGACGTTACAAAGTATAAATAACATTGTGTGGAACATAACTGAATGAAATTTCATATTGAATGAATCCGGTGTAGAAATTTTTCTAAAAAATTATGAAAACAAAAGAAAAATGAACATTTTTAGGAAATAGCTTACGATTTACCATGTGACATGAGGAAGTAATAGCTATTCAAAAATGAAATCATAGTTAAGAAAGCTGAAAATTCTACAGAAATTCTAAAATATACAGCTTACCGCAATGGAATAGAGCGTAATTTGTTAAATTACATTTGATTTTAACAATGATTATGAATGAAAATCGAACTTTTGTTGGCTGCTTATTACCTACACATATTTTCGTAACCTTTGCTTATCATTAACATAAAGGATGTACATATTACCTGCAACAAAATCATTTTCAATCAGCATACAAAAATATATGTAAAATTTTTGGTTTATATATCTTCATACCAGTAATTTTTATAACCTGTGCACATACTTCAAAATTACCTAAATAATTGGCACTATTGAAGTACTGCAAAACCTAGACAAAATAGCTGAATGATAAAAATATTTGAAGCTTTCAATAGTCTCCCACGCTAAGAAATCATATATTATGAATTGATACAGTATTGTTACAATGTTGTGATCTTATATGCAACTATTAAAATTTATTAGTTTCTTACATGAACAATAATTTGTTTTTGAAGGGAGTGATAAAGTGATTGAGAAATATTTTTTGTTATATTTCGAGTTTTACAAAAACCAATTTCGAAATTTGAAATTTTTTACTAAAAATTTAAAAAACTTTACGCGACTAGCAGGATATTGGGGATAATGCGAATTTGTATTATATCCGAATATAATTGGTATAATTAAATTGGAATTAATTAACAACTCAATTAAGTTTTTTAAATTCACAATGAATAATTTATTTGAAATTCTTTTTAGTAGTAATTTATTTAATTTAAATTATTATAATTTTGTTTTTATTATTAATAAGGGTATATTAATATTTTACAAAGTTGTGTTGTTTTTATATATATATATATGTTTTTTTTGCTTAATTGAATAAGATTTTAAAGTTAATAAGTCGATTCTTAAAATGTGTTTTTTTTTTTTGTTTTACTTTTTGTATTGAATTTATACATCAAGAACTTATCATTAAATAATTTTATTATGCAAAAGTTGGACATTAAAAACAAACCAAAAATAAGGCAGAAAAAAATATTTTAACATATTTTGTATGTAATAAACAAAAAGTATAAGGTTTTCTTTAAATTAATTTTCACATGTGTTTTTATTACAATCCCCATATAATAAAATAATATGAGATTAGTAATCATTATTTTACAATAACACGGTATTTTATACCAATATTAAGCTAAAACTTATATTTAATTAACTATAAAATTATATAAATATAAAAATATGAAATTAAAGCCGAAATTGAAAAACTGTTTAGGATTTAGGATTTACTTGTATTGCTAAAATGAATTTATTAAACAAAAAGGAATTAAGACGAATTTTTTAATTTATCAAAAAAAAAATCAATTTTTTTTTTTTTTTTTATTTTAATATTTTACTACCGTAAGTTTTGTTCTACCGATTACTAATTAAATTATTAATCAAATATATTTACAGTTTTATAATGAATAAAAATTATTTAATTTAAAATTTATTGCTTTTTTTCAAAATTGATTTGTTTTCTCTTAAAAATATTCATGATTATTTTTTTTTAAATATATATATATTAGTATATTTATAATTATTACTAATAATTTGAATTTTATTAATATTTGTAACATTAAAATTCTATTTATATATATTTAATTGTTGTAATACTCTGTATGTATTGCAAATTTTTTTTATATTAATAATTATATAGAATGGAATTTCCAAAATTAATTTTTAACAATTTCAATTTTAATATTTTGCATTTGATTTTATAGGATAGATGGGGGGCGAATGGGAGATTCAGAAAACGTAGAGTAAAATTATTTAAAGTAATTTTTTTTTTATTTTCTTTGCTATATTTACATACATACAAGAATACCTATAATTTCTTTTCATTTAATATTCCAAAACGATTAATTTACATTTAGCTATTTTTGCTCTGGTCTTGATATTTTTAATCTTACATTTCATATGAATGTACAGAATTTTTTTTTTTTAAGTAAATTACGAATCTTTGGCATCAAAATAATTTTTTTACATTTAAAAAGCAAAGTACTTTTTTTCATACCTTGAGAGCCTTATACTATTTTACACTTAGTAACAAAACTAAAATCATATTAAATGTTTCAAAATGAACAAATAATACAAAAAAAACATACTAATAAAATCTAATAGTAGCTTAAATACTATAATACTTCCTTGTTATTAATGCAAAATAAAATCTTTAAAATAAAATTATACAAAAATATTTAAAAAGAAAATTATATTGTGCATAATATTTTTTAAAATAAAATAAATTATAAATTATTGATTTCTATTTCTTCTACATTATTTATAAATAAAATAATCGAAAAGAAAATTTTAGGAAAATGTTTTTTAATAATTGAAAAATGCATACATAAAAAATTTATTTTTCTGAATTCCATTTTTTTGGCGAATATTTTCAGTTTTTCTATTTTCAAGATTAAAATTTCCAATTATTGCTGCATATACGTATTAATATAGGTATGTAAGTATATAAAATTTCAGAATATCTATTATTTTCTTTTCAGAATTTTACAGTCACTGGGATTTAATTTTAATACATAATTAATTTATTATTTTCTTTGATTATAGCTAATTTTACTAAATTTAATATTTGCTTTATTTATTTTTATCGTGTTTTTTTTTTAATATTAAATACATAAAGTTTTTTTTCAATATTGTATTGAAAAAAATTTCCTTAATTTTCATTCCATTCTATCTCTATCATCATATTTCATACTATGTGCCGTCATGCTATCACGATCATCGAATTTTAGATTATGCCCAAATCCACCTAAACTAGATAATTGTGATAATTGTGAACATTGTGGTGAATCATATAGTGACATTTTTAAACGTTTACATTTTGCTCGTCGATTTTTAAACCAAAATTGAACATTTTTACTTTCCAATCGAGGAAATTTTTGCCTGGAAAAATTAAAAAAATATAAATTTAGAATCATTGAAATATGATTTGTGTAATTTTAGTTTAAATTAAATAATTTAACTTTTAAAATTATAGCCAGATAGATTCTAGTAAAGGTACTAAACTTGAATTCGAAAACAAGCTTAAATTATCAAATTGGGAGTCCCCAATTGGACACGTGGATTGGGAGATTTTTTTTGGCAATTAATGTAATAAAGTAATTTTCAAAGTAACTTACCGATAAGGCATTTGATTTAAATCTTCAGTGTACTTTAAAATTTGATTATGTGATGGATGTGTATTTAATGCAAACCATTGTTCTAATTTCGGAACTTCTGTAACCGGATCTATAAATGTTCGATTTCGTTTTCTCCTTTCTTCATTTGATAAATTTGATAAATTTAAACCACTAGCATTGCCACTACCTATTATACCAGCTCCATTTGGGCCACCTAAACCTAAAGAACCGAGACCAGCGGCTGCTGCAGCTGCTGCTGAATGTGAAACATGTCCAGGTGCACCAGGTTGATGGTGACCAGCACCCATACTTGGCATATAATGACTCATATACATGAACGAATGAGATAACATTGGATTTGGTACCATTGGAAATGCTAGGTCACGTCTTGGATCAGGTGATGGTGAACGAAATCCGTCATCCATTTGACTAATATCATTATCATCTTCCATATCTAAATCTTCTTCTGACTTTAGAGAATTTTTCGGTGATTCATTTGATTGTTGTTCAATGTCATTGCTGCTATTTATATTACTATTATTACCGTTATTATTGTTGTTGTTATTATTACTTTTCATACTATTATTGTGAATGTTATCATTAACATTTGAATGACTATTTAAGCTATTCCGATCATTATTATCTCGTTGATCATTTGGTGAAGAACGTTCGGAGTTTCGATCACCATTTGTGTTCTTTTCCGGAATATTGTTTCTATCGCTTGAAATTCGTTCACTGTTATTAACATTTTTATCATTGCTTTGGTTGTTAGGTTCACTTAAATTGTTATTATTACTGCTACTATTATTTCCGCTATTATTATTGCCGTTTATATCGTTGTTGTTGCTACTACTCAATTCGCTACCAATTTCTCCATTAATTATTTCACTTTTGATGGTAATATTTTCATGAGAAGGATTGGAACTCAACGAATCACGATTTCTTTCATGCATTGTCAACGACAGCGGTAAATGTTGCGGTGGCGAATTCGGACGACTACTACTTGTACAATCATCTTCTTCAATGTCATCATCGTCATCTGAATGTTGTGATATATTATCAATATCGTCAAATTTCATATTTGGCGAACTTTTCAGATAATTCGAATGTCCTCCTAATAACATATTTTCTGTACTTTGTCGACTGTTACTTAAATTGCCGGAACCATTAGTGTTAGTGTGACCATCGTGTTTTAAATAGCCATTACCAATACCATGTAAACGTATTTCGGAGCGTTTTTGAGCAGCTCTGGCATTTTTGAACCAATAAACAACATTATTAACATCAAGTGGTTTTCTCCCACGTCTTGAATCTAATGAATTTAATTGAATAACATACGATTGTATTTGTTGGCGAGAAGGGTGAGGATTTTCTTGAAACCAACGTTGAAGTTTCGGTAGTTCCATTTCAGGATCAAAACTGGTGCGCATTCTTGTTTTTTGATTAGCTGCTGAATTTGGGTATTGTGAATGATGCATTGAATGTAATGCAGGATGTACCATCATTGCAGGATGATGAGTTGAATGATGACTTTCTGCAGCTGCTGCTGCGGCTAATAATTGTTCACGATTATTATGTAAAGTACTGTGTGTTGAATTTGCGGCACCAGCCGCAGCCACAGCCGCTGCAGCTGCAGCCGCGGCTACATGCCCTGGTGTTGGAAAATCAATATCATTTGATTGTCCTGTCATAAATGGCAGTATTTTTGGCGTGGGAATTGGTGAATGTGGTGATAATTGATTACTCCACCACTGATCAAATTTTCGCCTCAATTCGTCGGGTATGTCACCATTGTACGAAAATGAATTTTGATATGAGCTTCGGCATATTTGTGACAGCATACTCTGTAAAAATCAGAAAAAAAAAGGTATTTTATAGCTATTGTAACAACAATAAAAAAATTAAAATTAACCTAAATTGCAATGCAAACTGAAAAAGATATTAAGAAAAATCTGATTTTTTATTACGATATAATAAAAAGCTTGAGCTTCTACAAGTGTTGTTGTTTGTAAATTTAAGAACAATATTGACTAATTTAAGTATGATATTTTAATTAAAAAAAAAAAAGTTAATCTCACTTACTCTTATCTCTATTTACTATGAAATTATCCAGAATATCTTTAAGTTTAAGCAAAGATAAAGATTTTTCGTTATTTTTTTCTCTTTTATAGCTACGTAAATAGGATTTTAAATCTGAAGTAGTAAAAATTTATATAAATATACTACAAGTAGATAAAACTTACTTCAAGATTTTGTTTTAATGGTTTGGTAGAAATAATAACAAAGAATTGGATAACGTAAAAATGAGCTTGTAAAAGAAACAACAAAGCTTAACTTTAATGCTTAAGCAATTTAAATAATTAGAATTAAATATGAAAAGCAAAAGTAACAATACTTATAGCTTAATGCGAGATTAACGGTTGTTAAAAAATTTAACTGAAAAATTGTAAATAAATGTGATAAAAATTAACAGTACGTTCTCGTATAACGTATTATTGACAATTTGCTTTTGGAACTATTTATGTACATCGATAGTTTTCAAATAGAAATTAATAACCAACTAATATTATGAGCGGGAAAAGACAACTAAATGAAAAATTTGAATACCGGAAACCTACGATAAAATTTTCAATTATAAAGAGTAAGTTAATATTTATTGATAATTAGCAATTCTTCCATATTTGTTGTTGACTAGAACTTCTTCGTAGTAGATTGTGGAGAGCACATGTTATATCCTGCAAATATAATTTTTTCTACTGCAAGTTGTTTTAATGATATGGTTTATTGTGTACTATGAAGTCTTTAGAAATGTCAGAACTAGCAATTTAAAAATAATTTATTTACAATTTCTATGTACTTGTAATTTTGTTGAATTGTTTAGATGTCTTCATGTACTATCATGAGCACGGTCAGTTGAAAGGGCGACAAAACCTCAATTTAATTTTCAATACCATCAAATTGTTTAAAATTTCTTTATACTTATATTAATTAAATATACGATATTACTTGTTCAAAAAAGATTGTGTTCTTACACAATAGTACTTTTATTCCAATTTCACTATTTATTAAGCTATGCCTAGTATAACAAAAGAAATTTATGCTTGTTAATCTGACAAAATGTATTTGGCATTAGCTTTTCTTAATAGTTTCAAATTAGCTAACAATTGGATTGAAACTTTCATTTTTTTCGATTTCACAGTCAGTCAAAAACGGGCTAGATACAAATTTTGAAACATTTTTAAGGCATACAACACCAAACCATATTCGGAGGAAAATTATATATGCGTCTCCTAAGATAATTAAAATTAATTATGATAATTTTGCACATTATTTTATATACAATAGTATTTATTATAATTTCTATCTGTCTATAGAAATGCGCAAACAAATTATTATTATTATGCAAATAAATAATTAAACCGGAATAATTAAGAATAGAAAAACAAAGTTTTTTTTATAAGAAATCTGTAGAAAAAACAAAATAACGAATACGTATTTGATCTTACCTCTGTGAAGTATATTGTGAACGCTTAATGGTATACGAGTAATATAAACTAAAAATGTATACTAAATTTCTTATATAGTTGCATATGATATGAATATAAGAGCCAATATAAAAAAATGCTTCCTTGTTTTAAGCTAACAAAAATCTCTTACATGTAAGATATTATATCAGCATAGAAAATAATCTTATTATGCGCTTAGCAGGAGAAAAATATAAAAAAAAAGGAGAAAAAAGAAGTTGGGATATATTCTTTAGCTTTAAGTAACAAAGATAGTTCCACTACATATACACTCTCATATATATATAAAACGTATCAACTTAAAGAAAGATGAATAAGCTAATATAAGAAATAGAAGAGCAGGGAAATCAAAAAATGAATAAAAAAAGGGTTAAGCATACAAAGTTTCAAATATATTTTACTTAAAACTCTGATTTTATTTTTTCGGATTATTTTTGTTATTGGTATTATTATCAGAACAAAAGTTGTAAGTTCACCTGATGATAGATCCAAAATAATAAAGGAATAAAATTATAATCAAATACAAATGCATACATGCATACATACACCCATACATACATATTTAAAAATCCATGTACACATGTGTTTTTCGAAATATGATGCTATATATTTGACAGCTAGATAATGTGTAAGTATCCTTTTATAATTTCTTTTAAATTTAATGTTAGTTGAATTCGTGTATCATACAATGATAATTATCAATCGCTTGCTTTGCTGATAATATTCGTGTTAAATGTATTCTGCGATGATTTAGATGTCTGTTCGTCCGCATAAGTTGTAAATATTTCAAAAGCTAATTGAAACAAGTTCTTTGGCTAATTTATAGCCAGTAAATAACTTAGCACTTAAATTGAGTTATTTCATTGAAAGAAATAGTTTGCACTTCAAAACTGTGTTCGACAGCTGGATAAGATAAAAGGCATTTAATATCCGTGATAAAGGCAATAATCCGTGAGTGACAATTATCATATAACCACTTAAATATTGTTTTTTACATACATGTTTCACAGAGTTGACATGATCAACCAATTCTCATTTTTTTTTCTGATTATAAAATATTCAGTACAGTAAAGTGCAGGAATGACAAACTTTTTAAAAAAAATTAAAATTATAATTTAAAATTTTAAAAACCTTTTCAATTTAAAAATTTTAGTTTTATTTAAATTAATAAGTTTATAAAGGGTGAATTTTAAGCTACGAAGTACTTCTAAGTTATCTGACCAGAATTGCCATGATATTGGCATCATTGGAAATTTTTTCAAAATATGAAGGTATATCAGGATAAATTTATTTTTAAAATCTTTTCGGATGATAAGAACACTTAGCTGGTATATTTTAAAAGTAGTTGTTGTGATTTTACTAGCTCAAACTAATTGATTTCCAAGTTTTTCGGAAAATAAACATCAATTAAAAAGACTGTGTACCGTTAAACATAACCATATATAAATAAGCTTATTAAGAGACAAACTATTGTTCGAGTACTTGACTTTCAAAATAATTATTAGGATCAATGCTTTCGTTTTAGAAAACTGGAGATATCATGAAAAATGTTCGCTTATATCACAGCATAACTGTATGAAAACTCGCAAATTAAATTACAAGTAGCTTAGTTTATATTTTATTTCCTTAACAGCTCCCAAACTAAAAGAAATGCAAAGAAAATTAGAGTTTATTTTGTTTGTATATTAATAAGCGCGATTTTTTTTTAAAGAGAACCTTAAAAAGTAGTATAAATCACACAACACTTACATATATATTATATGTAAGTACAATCTTTTCATAATATTAATCTGTGTTTGATATCATTAGTATAATAATTTGTATCCTTGCTGCTTTTTATACGAATAATAGTAAAGTTTCCGAACATACATAAATTTTATAGAGAACGCAATATGTTCGCTTTCAAATCCCTTATATAAATTAAAAATAAGTAAATAAATAATGTTATGACTATGTAAATGTTTATATAGGTAGAGTGAACACGTTTGCAAAAAAGTTGATAATTTTGATTTTCAATGTAACCTATAATATTTCATTATCTTAAAAATTAAATTCTTTATTATTGTCATTTTAAATTGGTATGTACATACGTACATATATACAAAGCAGAAGAACATATAATATGTGTATGTATGTATGTATATATATTTAACTACATAAATAGTAGATAAATAAAAATATATGAAATCTGTACGTATAATTTGTGTGGGAAATTTTATCAGAAAGATTTAATTTTAATACAATAACATTATATTATTTAAGTACACACGTACATATATACAAAACAATATTTATTAAGTACATATACATAGAATCCATAAACGTAATTATATCTGTACCCATATTCATATATTTATTATATGTTGGTATGTACATATATAAATTTTTCACTTATATATTTTAAAAACATTGAAAAGTTTTAACAGGATTAATATTAATCATTAATAAATAGGATTATTAGTTTCACTAAAAGGAAGGATTATAACAAAATACAAATTAATATATGTATACATTTATATAAATATATGTGTATGTATGTATGTAATTACATTATACATAACCTATGTAGGTATTTTGAAAAGAGACATTGAAAAGAGTTTTAAATTTAAAAAAAGAAGAAAATAAAAAGGTTAAAATATCATCAAAAATCTCGCTTTTACTTTAAATCCATAATATGAACGAAATGAAAGAGTAAAGATTCATTGCATAATATTTGCGTTATTATTCAAAATAATAACGTAAATTAAATTCAAAGTGTTTCTTATTAACCCATTAAAGCTCAATATGAAGTGTAAATCAAAGTAAAATTCTTCAATTCGTCAAATTCTTCAACTTTTTTCTTCAACTACCCTTTAATTTACATTAAGTAACAATAAAACTTTCGTTAGTACTTGTGCCACTAAAAGGTTTGGACAAATGGTTGGTGGTGTTAAAAGGATTCGTGAAATTAAAACTGTGACCAAGACAAAATAATTACACAGAGATTAAAAGAAAACTTTGGAATTATTCTTTAAATTTCCGAAATTTTCGAAAGTTTTCGAAATTATTTGCAAAACTAAAAATTTTTGGTGTTTTTAAACATTGTATTTTTGATTACATTTTTGATATCAATTTATAAGATATCATTGACTTCAAAATTGCAATAATTACGGGTTTAAAACATAATTCAGCTTATAATTTTAAATTGCTGAATTGTGTATTAATACCTTTTACTGCAACTTTGTCCTCAATTACTTTTTTTAAAGCTAAAGAAAAAGCTTACCAAGAAGTTTGAGTTAGCTAAGGGTTTTGTTTGATGTTAACATTTAAGTGAAAGGTCAAGTTTTTAACAGCTATAAATGTTCTATAAAAGTTTTATATGAGCGTATAATGTTTGTAGATTTGTAGATTGTAGATTTTTAAGGGAACCAAATCGGGCAAAAGTCCCTACGGGACACCGCAGCTGTTCGCTATTTATTGTAATCTCCTCATACTCCCACCTATAAGCGTATAATGTAAGTTTTCATTTACCCGCACTACACTTAATTTTATTTGGCTTTCTAAGCAAATCGAAATTCAATTGACTCTTTAGAAGTATGTCCAAAAAAATTTTTGAAAAAAAACGTTTTTTAATTTTACTCTGTCCTTCCGTTCGTTCGTCTGTCCTTGTGTCTGTTTATACAATTTCTACATTTTTTGAGATAGAAAGCTGAATTGCTCAAACAGATCTTTAGCAGCAGCTTAATTCTGCGGAAGAAAAATTTTACCTATGCGAAAGTGCTTTGAAATAGATAAATTTTAAGTTTTCATAGTTCGACTTATTAATTGAGAACCTATGATATGTTCCAATATAATTGCAGTACCAAATGATGAAGAAATTAATAGTATTTTTAAACAAAAAAAGCTTGAGACCTAAGCTTAAAAGCTTTAATTGGAAATAAAGGTTTTTAAGAAATAATTAGAAAAAACTTTTAGATTTAGCAAAATTTAAATTTTAAACTTTCAAAATTTAAATTTCTTTTTTAAAAATTCTCGTTGAAAGACATAAGGTTTAAATTTAGAACCGCGAATTTAAAAATTTCCATATTTTATTGTATATATTTAGATGTAAAATAATTATCAATGCTTACATAATGTTAATTATTGTGTAAATGAAAAATATTGTCAGACTTACCTCATCTAATGGGCAACCAGTTGATCTTAATACTGCATGGGATTGTAATACTAATAATTTCAATAATTTATCTTTGATTTCATTATATGTTGATGGTTTACTTCTTAATATAACAATACGTAATGTAACGACAGATGTTAATTCACCCAAAATATCACTAACTGGTACTATTGGATTATCAGATATATTTTCCAATGGTATAGGTTTCCAATTCTTAATTATTAATGAGCCTGGAATGTGAAAGAGATAAAATTATTAAATTAAAAAAATTTAATTTTTATATTGCAAATAATGTACGAAGAATATGTGGATGTGTGTACGGATAGGTCTGAAATATACATAACCTCATTTTCTTCATATATGCATATGCAGGCATTTCTCAAATCAGTTCTTGGGGTCTATTACCTCAATTAATCTCATAATTATAACAGTAAAAGAACAAACTCTCTTCTTTCTTGTTTTTGCTCACTTTGCTATTATTTTACTTACTTTGTTAAGTTATAAAAAGGTGAACTTTAGCTTGGCTATTAGTTGAGTTGCAAGTATGAAAACATTAAGAACCATTTTTGTAAAGTTGATTACGTCATGCTTATTAAGACGCATAGTTATCTGCAAGTCATTCTTAAATAGACTTTAAAGAATAGTATTTGGGAACGATATTGATATGGCCATATGCTTATTAGGCCTCTGAAAAGCTTAAGGGCCGCTTTTTTTAGAAACCATTAAACTTTATAAAAAAACGCTTTATATACCTAAAACAAGCAACTCGTGTATTTTTAACTAGAATCGCGCCATAATTATTTATTTCGCTACATATTTTTCGTTGATTTTCTTAAAAAAATGTAAGTGAGTAGCAAATACTCGTAGCACGGAAAAATCATTTTTGGATGAAATTTTATAGTTTTTAGCTGTATATGGTTGATCATATCGAAAGGAGTTTCAGTAAAAACACCATTTATTTTGTAAAAATAAGAGGTTTAAAAAGTTAATAGAAAATTTTTTAAAATTTCCAAGGTCTTTTATTACCATTTTTTCTTTGTTTACGTATTAGTTTTACTCAAACATTTTTATTGTTTACGTACCTGGCCGTTACGCCTTAATTTAACTATAAAAAAAATATCGGGTATAAGTTTTTGTTTACTGTTTATGTCGGGTATTAGTGTAAAATGTTAAAAATTTCAGGATGTAAAAAATTGGTTTTTGCAGTATGTACCTGAAGTGTTTTTATTGAAACCTATTGAAACTATTTTGAAAACTAAAATTTGATAATAATATGTTGACATAGCCAGCTAGCTAAACGTCACAACAATTTCCTTTTAAAAAAAATTTTAGAATTTTTGGGAATTTGAACTTGCATAACATGACAATTAGTTTTACTTGTTTTAATTTTTAAAGTTTTAAGTTAGGTATATTTTTACTATTTGCTTTTAAAGAATTTTGCCCACACTTTGCGCAAAAAGGTTACATTTTTCATAAATTACAAAAATAATTTAAATTAGGAATAAGGAAATGACACCCAATTCGAAATAAATAAAATATTTCTGCAGTGAAATTGTTATCTTTTATTTTAACAATACCTTAAATTTTTAACAATACCAAACATTTACTAATACAGGTAAATATTTTGACTTTTCTGTAATAATAAAATAGGTAAAAAGGATTAAAGGATACTTGATAATTTTTATGTTTTTATTGTTTTTTTTTTATTTTAAGTGCCATGTTTTATATTCGAGATAAAAGATTGTGCTAAAAATTATTTGTGAAAATTAATTATTTCAAAATATTTATACCTTTGAGCTTCGGAATTGAATACTTGCTATTGATTTATAATCACACAGTTTCTAGAAATGAAGTATTATTTTTATTTTGTGATTTATTTTTCTCAAATTGAAAATTCTGGCACAAACTTCACTTAATTAATTTTTGATATTCAAAAATTTTTTCAGAATATCCGATAGTCGAATGGATTGAAAAGGATGTCCGAAAGCGTAAGCTAATTTCGTTATTTCGCTAAGTTTTATTTGAAAATTAATTATTTGAAATTTAATTAATTTTTCATCTAGCCTATAATATTACAAAAGGAAAATGTGATTACTTGCCCGATGGTGTATGCCTCTATAGTTACAATTGTTTCATTAAAAATTCATTTTTGGTGTAGAGTCATTTATTTCAATCCCAAAAACTGTGTGTATTACACTATTTAGTTTGAGAATTATTGTATTTAGGACTGCTACACCGAATGGTATGATTTAAATATCCAAAAAATTTGAAAATACGAAAAGAAATACATATATGGCGCACATACATTCACGTATATATGTATGTGCACCATATGTATACCTACAATAATTTAATATTATTATTTGTATTATATTCACTGGTATTTAGTCATGAAAAGTTGTCCGTAATTTAATCAAATTTACTACAGTAAATTTTAAGATACACTAAACTCCTTTAACCATAAGTAATTGTGGTTTTGTTTTTTCAATATTCCAGGCAAATTTCTTACAAGGCAAATTGGATTAGACTAAAGCGGGGTCAATGTGTATTTTTTTAAACATTTAAAATATAATTTTAAAAATTATCTGAATAAATGTAAAACTAAACATAATTAATAAATTGAAAGTAATGGTACGGGCAAAAAATTTTAATCCCCTTACATTTTTTTAAAAATCATTGATATTCTTTTTAAGTATAAAATAAAAAAAAAGAATTATGGATTAAGGAATATTTATATGAAACCCCTGCAAAAATAAAATTCTAATCCAATTAAAATTTCGTGGAGATGTCTAAACCTTTTTTTTTTCATTTTATTGTGATTATATCTTGGGGGGCTTATTATATTATTATTTTGGATATAATCACTGAACTCCATATATTATACAATATGGTAAAATTATGCTTTGAATGTAGATAAACCCTATTTATTTACATATGGATATATAAACATATATACTTATTAATACTGATATATTATGTTTAGGGATTGCATTATCGGTTAACGATTAACCGATTAACCGATAAATCGTCGAAAAATTGACGATAAATATTATCGATAATTTTTTTTAAATTTACCGATAATTCCGATAAATTAAGTTTTATACAACATTAAATATTATACAACAACATCAACTGATAAAATGACGAAAATCAATCAAATCTTGGTTGCTTTGAAATTTTGAAGATTCAAATTGAGAAACGCATTATTAAAGATATACTGTCCTTATGTGAAAGACAAAAGCAAATAGTATGCGACAAAGAACTGTTTTTCAGTTATTATATTTGTACTGTTTTCTTCAATCTCTTTCTAAAAACTATCTCTTTTGTTCTAACTTGTTGTACGTGTTATATGTGTATAGGTAATCGTTTTGTGAAACTGCAATTTTTTTATTGAAAAAATTGAAAAATTAAATCTAAGTTGAATAGTAATAGTGAATCGCCAAATATAAGTTCAAAAGAAACAAATGGTAAAAAACTTATGAAAATTATTAAGAGGGAAATGGTTCATTATGAAGATATTGGGGTACGTGGAGTATATCTGGAAATGGTATATAAATATTTAGAAACAATTAAACCGACCAGTGTAGAAGCCGAAAGAGCTTTTTCATCGGCCGGTTTATTTTGTACTAAAATTAGATCTAGATTAAGCGATTATACATTAAATTGCCTTTGTTTCTTGCGAACCTATTTTATGAATAAAAATAATCCAAAATAATAATGTAAAGTAGAACTAATTTGAATTAATAAAGCATTTATATGTACAAAACAAAAATTAAATTTTTATCGGTAAATTATCGGTAAACCGATAATTGAGAAGAAATTTATCGGATTACCGATAAATGATTTTCGACGGTAAATTGCAATCCCTAATTATGTTAAGTATGTGCGAAAGAATGTTACAAAGATTTTAGAAAAGGATTATAATCAGAAAATTCATGTGTTGAATAAAATTCAACATATTTTTATTTGTATAAATACATACATACACATAAATATTATACACTAACACGTTAGTATATTTTTTAAGTTTGATATTATGATATATAAATGGATTAACCCAAAAAGAAAAAATAAGAATAATAAAATGAAATTATAAAATTACAAACAATTATTTTCAGAAGGTTTCTATATATTTCAATATGTATAAGTAAATGAGGTGGCTGCACAATTTTAATATGTACTGCAAAAAAAAAAAAAAAATCGAAAAAAAGAGATTACCTCTTGCTGTGCTTGAAATATCTATTGAATAACCCAGCCTTTGTAATGCTGTACTAACAATGTCTGACCAAGGTGTTGAAGCAGCAATTATAACATAACTATCCGTTTCAATATTTGGTCGGCGTTTCCATATATTACGTTGATCGATTGCAAGTGATGCTTGTAATGATGGTACTGATTCAACAATACAATGAAGAGGTAACGATTTTGCTGCAAATTAGAGAAAAAAAAATATTAATATTTAATTAGAAATGTTTTCAATTAAATTCAAAAATTTATTTATTAAAATTTACATTGTATGGAAAAGCACTGAGCTAAGTGTTTTACTTAGCACTAAGTTTTAAGTGTTTTAGTCTAAAATGGTATACAAATAAAACTTTTAATAATAAAAGAATGTCGAAATGAGCTAAATTAATAAATTCAACACTCAGTATTTGACTCAATGTGTTTTCTTAGTTTGTTAGCTAAACAAAGGAGTCGTTCAGACTTACATACATGTGCATGCTTAAAATAGAGTGAATTTGATACTTAGTGTAGTGTGATTGTATTTCGTCAACAAACCACGTAAATAAAGAATTTTAAATTTAATGTTTTTATCTTCGATTTCAATTGCAGGGGAAAAAAGTTTTGCAGCAAAAATTTAAAATTGAAACATTTTCGAGTTTAAAAGTTCCCTGTTCAAATTTTAAATTATATGAGTTAAAATAAAAATCTAATGTTTTATGCCTTTACGTATTTAAAACAAAAATTGATGCGATAGTGCTCCGAATAATTTATTAAATAAGCGTTTAGAAGGAAAACCTCGGCTTTGTGAAAGTTTTAAAAGAGCTAAACACAAAAGCTCATTGAATTTTTTTATTTTCCACATTATCACAATTGAATTTTTCGAAGGCAATTGAATAAGTTACCAAGATTCTTAATTAAAAAGATTTATTTAATACGCAAAAATTAAAAAACTTTCGAAGTAAACTAGGGGTGCTTCCGTTATTTTTTGTCAAAAATAAGATTCTCTTAGAAAAATCGGGCATTGAGTTGGACCAATTGACTAATTCGTTAATTCTAATTTTGGCTAATTTGTTCAATTTTAATTTGGCTAACATATGTTTTATATAAGTACATAAGATTAGTAAGTACTCATACAAAATGTCATTTAAATATTGTCCAACCTGCATTATCTGCACATTTTTATACGCATATATGCAAACCATACTGAACTTTAGACTTTCCTGCATCTTAAATTGTGCAAATATAAAACAACACTAAACTCTTTGTGGTTTTGCGGCACAATTGCACAATTGAAGTCAAGGAATTTTTCAATATCAATAGTCTTCTAAAAATTTTGGAATATTCTCACTTACTCTACTTCATAAAAAAATGTGAATAAATGTTGATATTTTACATAAAAATTGGGGATTTCCATTTTATTGTTAGCCTATTTTAGATCCTTATGAACATGGTACGTAATTAAACGCGAATGTTACCACCATTCTAACAAAAATTTTTTTGTTAGCAGCTAGGTGGCTTAAAAAAAACAATTTAATAACATTTCGGAAAATACTCAAGCAGTTGTAGTCAAAATTAACATACTTTATTAACAGGACCAGTATTTTTAAAGAATTTTATAAATTTATTAGGCAGTTTTCAGGCATTTCCGCAATCAATAATTCGTACGGGTATCACATAGTTGACACGGTCAACTATACCTGTTCTCGATTTTGTTCAAAAAAATTAAAATTTCCTATTAAAAAAATTTTTTTCTATTAAATTAAAAGTCAAATTTTATATGGCATGTCTTTAAAAATTCGCTTCAGCTTGATAATTTTAATCTTCAGATGCCAAATGGTGTTTAGATTTCGAAAATATTTTTTTCAAATTTTTAAATTGCACCCAATCTGAGAAAAATGCATTTAAAAATTTCAAACCATATAGGTACCATTTCTTACAAAAATTGGGAAAAATAAAAAACCTATAAATTTTCTTTACCAGGAAAAGTTTCGAAAAAAATTTTTTGATTAAGTACTAGATTTTTTTTTTTTGTTTTTCGTAATAAAAAATTGTAGTTTTTCTTTTCAAAAATTTCAAATTTTTTAAAATATGTAAATTTTTGTTCTTCAAATTAAAAGTTTGTATGAAATTTCGTTTCAATTTTATTATTACTTGTCACATTTCAATAAAAGCATTAAAACTCAGATGGTTTATAATTTTCAGAGCCTTAAAAATGTCAACTGTTTTTCCGAGTAACTCTCGTCATCAAAGATTAATGATAGTTGATAATTATAGCGCTTAAAATTCTTGTCTTTAAAATCTTGACATAGAAATGGTCTTTGTATTACATCTTCTGTACCATAAAAAATTTTTTTCATGTTTGAGGACTTAAATTGAAGCTTAAGTAGTTGGGCAAAATTCTATAAAGAAAAATTTCTTACGAAATTATTCAGCTAGAAAAAACTGAAAAAATTAAGGAAAAAATTTGATTTTCCCTAAAATTCCAATGCTCGGTTTTCCGAAGGTGCATAAAATACAAAATCAAGCAGCATGTCAATTTTAAGTCCTTTATTAGGCTTTCCTGAAACTGTTTGTTTGAAGTTCTTATCTTTTCCAGAATGGAAGTTATAATCCAAAAAACTTGGATAAGTAAAACTTTCGTGAAAATCTGTTAAAATCCCTGGGATTCGGAAACCCTTGAGATTTCGCATCCAATCCGGAACAAAAATTTTATCCATTTTCGATCTTCTAACGAATAGTATGTTGTTGTATAACTTTCTGAATCACCCTGTATATTATAACATATTTTATATTTTCATCTGGCTAATAAAATAAATATGTATGCATATAGTTACATACTTAAATAATTTTGTATATTAATTAATCAAAAATGATTAAATACGATTAATTCATATTTTAGTTTTATTAATAATTTTTTTAGTATTATTTTTTTATTTGCTTTTGTTGTTGCTTATAATTCCTTAAGAGATTATTTGAGTCATTGATTTATTCAAAATCAATTTAGAATTTCATATTTTATTCTTTGTATATATTTTATGTGCAAATGATTGTACTATAATATGTGTGTATTGTGTTCATACTTATGTGTATAAGTATACATTTTTAACGATTATTCATAATCCCTAAAGAGATTATTTTTAATCGGTTTTAATATTAGTTTTAAGGCGATTTAGAGTTATTTTTTCTGTTCATTCTTATTGATTCCGTTTTATTTTATTTTTGGATTTAAATAACGTTAAATATCGTCTGAGTCTATAACTAAATATAGTTTCTGAAAAGATTTTTATTTGTAGATCCAGTCTTGTTATTAAAATGAGTTTGAGAATTTTAAAAAAGAAAAAAAAGGGAAAAAATCAAATTAAATACAAAAAAAATTTTTTTAAACGGATTAAATAAATTTTCATTTTTATTTTAAGGTTGATCAAAGGAACGTGTGTATAAATATGTATATACATACATATAAAATTTATATGAACACAAGTACAAGTTTTTTGTACAAAAATCCTTTTTTATTGCATAAGATCAGAAAGTAATCATAAAATCCAAAATTTAAATGAACAAAATTCGATTACTTAAGGAAAAATAAAATTTATTGTTGAAAAAGCAAATGACTAGTAACGTTTTAGACCCGGTCTTGCTGGTTAAGTGAATAAATTAATCATGTTTTTGTCCAATTTTAAAAATATTTTAAGTAAGTTCTTGTTTTGATTTAAATTAGCTTTTTTTCATAATGAAATAGTCAAAATTTGAATAATTTGTTAATTAAGAATTTTCAGTTGAAATCACGATATTTTCCAAATGGGTTAGTTTTGAGAAAATTTCCTGGAGAGTGGCAAAAAGTAAATTAAACCAAGAGCTTTAATTTTGCAACTTCTAACATGAAACTTCTTAATGTTTTTAAAGTAATAAAATTTCACACTGTCAAAATAATTAAAAATAATTGCACATTCAAACTACAAGGTAAATCAAAAAAATTATGTAGGCTGTTACGAAGATATTAAACTCGTTCCCATTGACATATAAAACTGTTAAGCTTAAGAAATACTCATCTCTCTTTTGTCAAACTTTGAAATTAATTGCTTAACAGAGAAGATTTTTATAACTTCCCAGTAATCTGCAATAGCTTTGCGTTTTATTCACAAATTATAATTAGAAATCTTTAGTTAACAAATAATTAATATTGAATTCTAAAAAATATTCATTTTGTTTAGAACATCACAAATTAGTAACACAAAATTAGTTTAACAAATAAATGAAACTAACATGCACTATGCACCTTTGCTAAATTGAGTAAAAACTCATTATTCTGAGTTTTTAGTCTTTCAAAATTTAGAATTAAAAATATTTAAAATTATTAATTAATAATAATAATCTTGTATTGCACATAAATACTCAATTTACCTTCTTTATTTTTAATATTAATACTATTTTGACTATCAGAGTCGGCTTTATTATCATTATCTGATAAACTTAACATTTCATCCGAATCATTTATAAGTTCGCTATTATTTAAATTACCATTAATACAATTACTATTGTTATTATGATTAGAATTAATTGTTTTTTGTTGATTATATTTTGTAGTTGTCGCTCTTGTTTCAATATTATCATTATCGTTATGTTTTACAACTATAATGTCAGAGTCTTTTTTAACTTTTTGTGTACTTTCTTCAAAATCTTTGGTAGTCATTTTTTATAGAATAATTAAATTTATTAATTAGAAATAAGTTAAAACTAAGTGCTAATTATTGATTTATGAATTATTTATTTTTTTTCTATGAACATTTTTATTCTTCATCTTATATCCCCACTTATTTGTATATTTTAATTAAATTTGTATAATTGCTTATTCTGATTAAAATCACGTTTTTCTTAAATGTATACCATTGTATGTACATAGCAAAATTTAAAAAATTAATTTTATATTTTTTCACTTAAATTATAAAGCACTAAAAATACTTAACATTTTTTTCTATTTTCAAAATTCAACTGAAATTATTTTGTTATTTTATTTTCAAAAATAACTTAATTGAAATACAATCATGGATTTAAAAAAAAAAATTTTTGAACACATTTACTCCTAAATTTATATCTTTTCTAACCAACACCATTGACGATACTAAAATATAAAATTACTCTTATCCAAATTATATACGCCTATAACATTAAATCTCAATAAATAAAACCCTTCTGCCTGCGCACCG